ATACAAATAGTCTTTTAGATGGAATTAACACTTAAATACTCTTAAAAATAGACCTATAATTGTTATGCTCTCTATTTTTGATGATCTATGACAATCATTCTCTAAAGTAGAAACTGCATTACATTCTGCATGAACATCGAAAAGCAAAAATTTCAAAAACGAATATTATATAATCTGACTTGCTGTGCCAAAAGCACATTGAATATATGCATATAAAAACAACAAGAAATTACTAAAAACTAAAAAAAAAAAAAACTAATGACAGCTACAAGTATGAATAAAGGAAACTTTTACACATAGATATAAAAATTACATAATAACTAAGACCAGGTTTTCCGGAAGGGAAAGAGTCTTCTGCTTCATTGACGTAATATGTCAAGTAAATAAAGTCATATACAAGTTATATCGCATCAGCATAGCAATAATTTGGTGGTTACAGCAAGACAACAGGGCACGTCAATGAGATTAAAAAATGGACCTCATATCGAAAAAATAAAAACCGTTTTTTTTCAATGATATCATGATGGTTACATCATAAAGCTTGCCACAGTCTTCATCGACCTATGTAGTAAATTTGTTAGTCAGTAGTCGATATATGTCGTAGAACTCATAAAGATCGGGGCAGGGGTAGTGATAACAAAAATTGAAAGAAAAGAAAAGATTGAAAGAAAAGATATATGCAAAACTATTTTTTGTTTATATATGTTTATGTTTGAGACAGGTCTAATACTTTGGCAGCCATGTTTAGTTGTATGCCCCCGTGAAACTAGAAAAAGAGAACGTATGTTAACGAGTGAGGATGTATTACCTCATGTGCTATATCAAGGTAAATTTTCAAATGATTGACTTGTAAGTTATATGTTCCTTTTGAGCTAGGTATTAAATCGATCATACTGTCTTTTTGCATATCGTAGACTTGCAGATTACTGAATTCTAAATTGTCAACATCAACCAACTGAATACGATCAAAATTCCCGAAATTAATACATTTGTATATATTGTTCACAGATGGATGCCACATTTCGTAGAAGCAATGTAAATAGTAATTACGCTGGAACAACGCTCACCTCACTGAGGTAGGTAATAAGCCATATAAAGATGAAACATGCCGTCACGTGTATCCTTACAAATTAATACATGTTTAGCTGAAGCCTACACGTGTATCATTACTAGTAAATACCCGTAAAGCTGTAGTTTACACGTGTATCATTACAAATTAACACATGTTAAGCTGAAGCCTACATGTGTATCCTTACTAGTAAACATCTGTATAGCTGTAGTCTACACGTGTATCCTTACTAGTAAACACCTGTAAAGCTTTG